GTCTAAAGCTTTTTTAACTACAAGAAAGTGAGTTGCTGTCCACGAAGATTAATTAAAAATACAATAATTTAGAATAAATTTATATTGGAGTCCTAATTAATTCGCGATATTTTTAGTATTATCAATATATATATACTTATAAATATATCAACACTTTTGCTATCCTAAAACAACACCAAAAATAGTAGATTAACAGATAAATTGAGTGTTAAAAAATACAAGTTTGAATGAATGAAATATGTCTTTTATGGGATAGGGGGCAGACGAACAGACGGATTACCTGATGGTAAGTGATTACCGTCACCAGTGACCGTCACCCATGTTTAATTAGACACCAATATAGGGCAAAAGCAAATGGATAGAATCACTTAAACTGCAAAGTAATTTCTTACAGGAAACCATTGCGTACTGGAAAAAAAAATATCTTAGTTCGGTTAAATACTTCTTCTCTAGTATTCAAGTTTCCTTTTTTTTTATTATGAGTGTTTGTTTACGTGTCTTTGTCGGATATCCCATGTTGTTTTATTCAGATTTTCGTCAATATACAATACTGTGATTCAAGAGAAAGTTTTATCTATACTAATATTATAAAGCTGAAGAGTTTGTTTGTTTGTTTGTTTGAACGCGCTAATCTTAAGAACTACTGGTTCGAATTGAAAAATTATTTTTGTGTTGAATAGACCATTTATCGAGGAAGGCTTTAGGCTATATAACATCACGCTGCAAATATTAGGAGCGAAGAAATAATGGAAAACGCGGACGAAGTCGCTGGCGGCAACTAGTATGAGTATAATACAGGACCATGCCGCCGAAGCTTCTAGCGGAAATCTCCGATGTATCGAGTAGGTATTCGATATGTTTGTCTTGTTTATATCTACGTATGTACACATATGTACCAACTATCAAGGTACACAGTGAGTCATGTTAGTACATGACTCTAATTTATCAGCGAAAGGTGATCGTAATGTTAATGAATCTTATAAAGAGAAAATATTTGATTGTAAGTTTGTAACAGATATCGGACACCTACTGGACGAAGTCACAGGAGACAATTTACAATTTACATTTAGGGTACTTACAACAATTTACAATTCTATGATTTTTCTATATATCACTAACTTATTAATTAGTTTTAAGTATTTATACTATTTTTTAACCGTATAAATATGTATGATTGATTTGACTCCCAAACGCCTCAACAGTGATTACAAAAAAATGTTACTTTAAAGGTGTTCTTTGATCCGAGGAGAGATGTAAATGTTAACGGGGGCTAAATCGGGCAAACTTAGTAGTGGTTTATCTAAAATTTCCTGTTGTACTCTTTTCCCAGTTATTTATCGCTGAAAATGGCATAACCGATTTAAGCTTAACTAAGGTTCCATTGTTGATTTATTCAAAATGACTTGATTTGAAAATAATCTGCAATCGTGGACGGCGACGCTTATATTTCACGGACTGTTCAACGCATACAGAGGTCGTAGACCTCTGAGGTACATCTTTTTATTGTCGATGATCTAATTTAAAGTATTTTCATATGTTCTTACTGTTTATTAAATGAGGCCAAAATTTAAGAAACAGAAATAACGTATCAGCAGGGCGCTAGATCTGAATTTATGCCACTGGTTTCTTTTTGGCCATTTGAGACTTCGAGGCGTTCTAGGTAATTAAAGCATAAACTAATTAATACCTTAATGTGAATGGACTTCAAAATTTGAATTATTTATGGCAAAGCCGTTGATTGATGTATCAAAGTTAACTTCCTCGTACCTTATAAAATGGACATAACCATCTTAAAATAAAATGGGATAGTGCAGGTCGTCTGGCCTACCTATTAGTCTAGTAATATCTGACAAAGTCCATCAATTCACATTTAGTATTCATAACCGAAAGTATAATTCCCATACTCAATAAACAACTCATATTCTATATGTACTTTTTCGTATTTGTATTGATATCTAAGTTTCGAACTTTGCAGATTTCAGTCTTTTAATATGTTAGTTGAAAGGAACGGAAATGACTCTTTGGTCCATTCGTTTCCTGCAAAAATCAACTTTTGCTAGAGTCGCCATCTATTGAGATGCTATTTAGTGCTTTCTTTTTTTTTCTTAAAATACTTGCTCATTGCAAAGATTTTATTTAATATTGTTATTTCATAGTAAAGGTTTCTCAATTTTTCATCTAGATGAACTTCTGTGTAACATATACGATCAGTTATAAGTTGGCATAAGACAAAAACTAATAATGTATCTACACTAATAGTTTTCGTCTTAACGTTCATAATACTATATAATATAGTAAGGTTCCTCCACCACAAACACCCTCCGATAATAATGATTTACAAAAGATGTTTTGTTGTTCATATTTCCCAGTATTTAATGGTGTGTTTCCTTAGCACTAGTGATATATATGTCAAACAATGTGTCGTTAATTTCTTGGACTTCTAGTACCTATGGCTGCCGATGCCATGCTATCTTCAATACATAAGTCAAAAGGGTGATCGCAGCTTCAAAATTCAATATAAAAAAACGGTCTACATTACTATGTAGCAGTGGCCTCCCTATTCATATACAATTATATACTTTATGTTAGAAACAATATTAACAATTAAAATAAACATAGTTATATACTCAATTTGGATACTAGAAACAAAGATAAACTTGTTTTGCCGTCATGCAGGCTAAAGAAGGTACTATCATTATTTATGGGTCAAGGTATACATTTCTATAACAAAATTCCCATGGAAATTTTAAATTTACCATTGCCTAAGTTATATTATATATAACCCATATTAAGAATTGTCTACTAAGTAAAGGATATTATACTGTAAATGAATATTTAAACGACAAAACTGCTTGGTGTTAAATATGGCTCATTTTTCATGTATATTTAATTGTTTATCGGTGAGCTTCTTTGGCTACACATGTGATTCGATTGACGAAAATACTGTTTTACTCTTATATTTTCTAATTGTAATGGAAAGTGACTTCATATTTTAATGAAGTCATTTTTCAATCTTGATGCTCTGTATGAAATAAAACAGGGAGAAAAAAGCAGCCCTTGCTGAGTTGCTTGCCGGTTCTTCTCGGTACAAGGTCTCCCGCCGTAGATTTACGAACTGATAGCGTAGCTCTCGACTTTCACAAGTGCTTGTAACAGCCTAGACTGAACGAATAATTTTGATTTTGTAGATAAAACGGAAACCCTAATACAAGACTTTGCCGCCTGTCTGCCGGTCAACAGGCTGTATCTCGCGAACCGTAAGATTTAGGCGGTTGAAATTTTCACAGATAATGTATTTCTGTTGCCGCTTCAACAAAATATACTAAAAACCAGTTTAATGTTCGTGTAATAAATGTTTAATGTGGTTTTGTGTTCGTTTTCAGTACGGAACCCTTCGTGCGCGAATCCGATTCGCACTTGATCAGTTGTTAAATTTGATTTTTAAACTGCGAACACACTATTGTCCAATCTGTATAAATTAAAAATACGCTTCTGCTATTTTTCTGATCGTTTTTCTGTCAATAATTCGATTCAAAAATCTCGTTAGTCATCTTTACGATTTGTTTCTGTCCTGCGGTTCTGTAAAGACAAAACCCGAATTCGAATTCCGAATTCTTTTCAAAAAGCGGCATCCGCTCAATCTTGTATTGGTAACACTAATAACGTTTCTTGGCTTAAAGTGAAGTGAATTTCAAAATGACAGGAATAGTATATCCGAGACACGTATAATCAATAGATTGTGTTTTGCATTTTTATACAAAAAATGGAATCTATAGAATTTCTACATTAAATGACGTGACGGGTTCGGATTTTTACAGTATTATATTTCGTTTTTAAATTCATTGCACTACAATCAAAATGTTTCCAAATTCCAAATTCATAAGAAACAATCTATGCAATAAAAATCTGCGCGTCTGTCAGTCTGTATACGATAAATTATAAGAACAAACGAATATCATGCGTTTTTCGCGTAGCAATTGCAATGAAGATTTGTTTTTTATAACTCTAGTGTTAAAGAAATATGAGTTTACCAGATGTGGTTTTATGGCCCAATTTCATTAATGGGGTTACGTCACTTGCGTTAATATTGGTATAAGTAGATCTAGGTCCCTAATTCATGCATACATATCTACAAACATTTAATATTTTTTAGCTAAAATTAAATAAGTAAATATTTATCAAAATCCATAATCTCCTGAACCTTAGTTAATAATATATAAATTGAGAATCGCAAGAAATAGTTTTTCCTAATTAGGGTTGCCAATGCGCATAAATAATTAATAGTATTGTGTCTTATTTATTTTTATTATTAATAAATGCGCGATTTTTGTCAGCCAGAACTGTTTTATGACAGTATTTTGGTATTATTGATATATTTTCAAATTATTGACAACCACATTTATGTATGTAGTTAACTTAAACTAAAGTCAACAGCACGTCAGGCTATACCAATTGCAAATTTCTCCACTTTTTTTTCAACCTTAATACAGAGTTCAATTGAGGGAATTCAACATATTGTGGTAGCCCGACATGTAGCCGTGTGTGTACCTATCCTGAGCACGTCAAAACAAAATGATCGGTCAAGTGATCAAACTTAGTAGAACTTATAAATAGTCACGGTGCGTCATCCCATTGTGATACCCTGAAAACTTATATTCGCGGAAACTTTGCAGGCAAACACAAAAATATGAGTCAACCATCATCTCAAGCGTTCTCGTGGCGGACCGTTTCCTCTGACTTTATAAACGGTTATTTTTATTGGTCGAATGACGTTAACAAAGTTTCATAATCGCACTCGTAGGTACATGGGATAATTTTGGCAAACACTTAACCTGCTGGAATTTAACCTTCTACCCACACAATTATATTTTTAAATATTTTTCTTGTTTCTCAACTTCACTGCTATACCGTACGATAATAAAACTTACCAAACAATATTTTTTTAATGGCCATAGATTAAGAACTCGATGCAGAAAATTAAAAAATAAGCGGCGACTCACCGGCCGGTGACGTCATCCGGCGCCAAATATATTTCGCCTCCTTGATGTATCCAAACGCCATCATCTCCTTTCGCACAGAAAAACAACTTGCCCCCATTAGGAACTTTCAATTGCACGTCCAACAATGTTTCTTTAAACACAAACAGCTCTTCGCAGAGATCGCCTCTCTGCTGCTCCTTATAGGTTAGTGACCACTCAACAATATTAACTCCATTCACATTCAACTTGTAATCACATACGGTACTACACGACTTGTTAACATTCACGGAAAATATCCATGGCGGTGATACGGCGCACGTATTTATTATTAAAAATAGTAGGAGGAATAATCCACTAGTCCGTAAACAATTAGCCATATCCAACCGACACCGCACACCGAATGAAACGAAATGAACGAGCTCACGACTCGAGTCAATGAACGGGCGCGCGAGCGAATTGGAACGGCCACAGTGTGAATTGTCTTTTATATACTTTTAAAATCTATCGTTCGGTCGAAGGGTCACCACGCATGTATCGTGTCGTGTCGTGACTCAAGCCGTACGGGATGGAATCACAGAGGAGGATTTTCGCCACTTTTTCACATAAAATGTCTGACGAAAGGCTGACATCAGACTTTCACAATATATCAAATTATTCCAGTCAATTAGAAACTATAACATCAAGGTTTAAAATCAAGTGAAGAAAATTGATAGGTTTGTTTAACCTGACGTGTTGTTGACTGTACCTGTTAAAGCGAAAGAAAAATAAGAATCTACAACATTTATTGCGTCAATGGCTTCGTTTCGCAACGTTTTTAATTATTACCTAACCCCTAATTTAGCATATACGGTAACATATACGGTACCCGACTATAAGAAAAACCTACAAACGCAATAAATCGCAAATTAACTCTCCATACATTTTAACACAAAATATAGTTATGAAGAATAATGACACGTAAAGCACGGTTACCACGCCGTTGCGTATGTAACGACTCTAATCCAAAATTTCAGATAAGCACGCCGGTGCGTGATACACACAACTATCTATAATCCGGGCGAATTAAAAATACAATTTCGTGTAAGCCACTGCCATAGTTTCATAGAGTATTTCGTTCAATTCACTTTTAACATAACGGTTTCGCGATGACCTTGGGCCAAACGTGATTTTGTGATATAACACTGCTATCCTATTGTTGTAATGTTATTATCTAAGTAGAACATACATCATTGTATTTGTCAATGTGTGATCAGAAAATTGCGTTATCAATTTTTCATGTAAATAACAAATTAAGTTAAAATATTAGGTATATTAAAAACCAGTATTACTTTGTCTGTGTTTTGTAAGTTTCCATGTGAATCGTAAATATGTTATATTACCTACAAAAAAATAAATAATAAAAGGATTCAAATATGCAAACTAAGAGAAGGGGCTATAAAAACACCTTTTTAACGCTATCTCGATGTTGCTATTCCAAGCAGGCGTCGTGTAACAAAGTATAATAATAGCGCCTGAAACTTATTACCCCGGACAATATATAAAGGTGTTATATTATTATATACCAGGACTTCGTAGAGTACTATTACACCTTATAGGTTTACCTATAAAGCTATCCGGATATCCGTCTTTGAATTTGGATAAATTCGAGTGACGGACAGCCCTATTAAAAAGTCAACGAATGACCTATATATATAAGGAATTCTAGCTTCAATAAGCAAGGAAGGGGTTCAATTCTTACTCGGAAGCGTTCATATTATTGATTTATCTGTACTTTATTGTAATAACAATACTGCCGTCCTTGCGATAAATGCAATAACAGGAAATTTTAGGCAATAACATCGGAAAAATGAGCTCTATATTTTCGGTTTATTAAATTTTTCTTAACATTATCGGACTGTCAATAATAATTATTGAATTTACCATTTTATTTTGTTTTGTCTTTTACCTTGTAAAGTAGCCTAAACCAAGTAATAAAACTCTTCAGAACGGCATAGAAAAAAAAAATGTATAATCTTTTACCATTAGAAAGGGACCTTTACATCGGTTGTATATAGATTTTTAGCTGGGTATTAAGTACTGAGGCGTCAATAACAAAAATGTATTATGTAAATCGGTGGTGCATTAATATGGTGAACGTCCACTAGGCCGCAATGACCGGTACATGCAGACACGACAAGTATTGTATATAGCTTTAAGGACACCAACTCCAAAACCGAGGTGAGAGTCAAGGCCATCTTTACCCGGGAGCGCCTGTCGAGCGCTGAATATTTAGATATTTCATGGAACTTAACGTCATTACACCAGGCCTGTTTTAACTCATGGTGCAGGGGGTGCAATGCAAATGCGATGATGGTCTAATCTTGTAGTATGTACCTACTCATCGATGACTTTGGTAATGCGCCCCAAAGTTGTAATTTTATTTCGATATTTTTTTATATTTTTCAACATTTCAAAACCTTTTCCATGTAATGGGGCGGGGTAGGGCAATACTTGCACCCGGGCGCACTGTACTAACTACAAATCAATGTATACTAGGGGCAGTATCGTTTTCCCGGGAACCACTCGCTTAAGATAGCATGCCCGGGGTATCGTGATGCGGTTCCAGCGTGTAATAGTGATATATTCATTAAGTTTATATTCGTGTGGAGTCAGTTACTCCTTATCTAGGTAATTAAGAGAGATGGTGGAAGCCGAACCTAGTCAAACTACCCAGGAATTTGCGGCATGGTTTAACATTACCTTACTCACAATGTTGACTCACTCATCGTCAAATCAATAAAAGAAAAAAAAAAATGGGTGCCTAATGATTTCACTGATCTGCAGAAAGAAACGCGTGTATTGCCTTTTTGAATCGGTACAGAAATTAAGGAATATTGGATCGAATTGTGACATGTGATGAAAAGTGGATTCTTTATGATAGCCGTAAAAGAAAAATGCAATGGCTGAACCCAGATCAAACGCCACAACAGTGTCCTAAAGCAAAACTTACCAATAAAAAGGTAATGGTAACTGCTTAGTGGTCTCAGCATGGTGTTATTGACTATAGTTTTCTTCGATCTGGTCAAGCAGTAACGGCAGATGTCTATTGTGCCGAACTCCGAACAATGTTGGCAAAACTAGCAGCAAAACAGCCCCGACTGATGAATCGATCTTCACCATTATTGCTCCATGACAACGCGAGACCTCATATAGCACGATAAACCATTTTGACCCTTCAGGAACTGCAGTTAGAAACCATTCGTCATCTTCCGTATTCGCCAGACCTTGCTTTCACACAGTTTGTGCAATTTAGATCCTAAGAGTTCTATCGCAAAGGCATAAATGATCTTCTTATTAGATGGCAGCAATGTACAGATAATAATGGTATCTATTTTGATTAAATAAATTTGTAAAAAAAAAACGGCAATTTCATACTTTAACCCCTATTATTATTAGGATAGGATATAGATTTCATACACGTTGTCGGGATGTTCCCAACACTAGTTATTACATAAGGTATAAATAGCTGAGTAATGTATCCGCGCGCTCTCTCTTTCACTGTACACTTTATTAGACGCACGCGTCTCAGTTTGTTGTTGACAATAATAAACCTCTTCATTATAACAAACCAGTATTTTAATTAAAAGTCCACTATTTCAATTTCTTTGTTATTGGCTCTTCTATAATTTAACCGGCATCAAGTTTCAAGTTGATGAGGATTTGAAATTAGACCGTCCGTGAAACGAATGTTCCATGTTTGTAATAAATAATTTTATGTGTATAAAGAAATTTATAGAAAAAAAACTACATTCATAGTTACACAAACGACTGTGCTAGTTTTGAAATTCGAAAAAAGGCATCATGTTCCATGATTTAGACATACGAGTAATACTATTTATTTTGGGCAAGTCTATTCCTAATATTATTGTATTCCAGTTGACGGGATTTTTATTGATTGTGATGGAAAAATATTATCTCGAGCTACTCCGTGCTTCGGAAAGCACGTTGCGACGCTGGTCCCGTCTGCATTTTGTAGTCATTAATGCCTTCCAATCCTCATTGGGCCAGCGTGGAGGGTCAAAGACCATTCTCCATGACCATCCATAAGGAAGGCCTGAGCCCTTGAGGTGGGGACGTGAAACGGCTGATGATTTACGAACGGCTGAGGATATGAAACATTTATTAAAGATTCGTCCACAAAACACGTGAAATTTGGTTCTGAAAAACAAACGAAGGCATCATTAAACCTTAATGGATGTTAGTAAAACTGACTGACAGTCTGGTTAGAGACGGTTGGACAGAGAGTCTCAGTAATAGGGTACTCGTTTTTACCATTGAAACATACGAAACCCTAAAAACTACCTAATTACGCAACAAATATGTTAATGAATCATTAATGTGCTTTCATTAAGGTAATAAAAAACATATTTTTTAATATCTATATTACAAATGATAGATAACTATGTATAAGCTTATATTATTAATTAGTCATCTTCATTACTAAGCTGGGTATACACAAGTGGCAAAATAAAAATAATAATCAAAGATTAATATGAAGTAATAAGTGTTTTACAATTGTTTTAGGCGTCTTGTTATTTTTACTTTGGGCAAGTCTTTAGCTATATTTGCCTTAGCTGTAATGTAATAATCTATACTAATAAAAATAAAATTAAAATTCATGTAAACAACACACTTTTGTGTAAAGGCTATTATAAAGTTGATGATTATTTTAAGGATCGCAATGCGTGGAATTAATAGCCTTCGCTTTGTTCTATAAAGACTAATTATATGTTCAACCTATGTCCTAGAGACTTTGAAAGTTGTATTTATTATTGTGATAATACATATTATTTTGGTAATGACATGATTTATTTAAATTTCATTACTTATGATAAAAAGCTGGTAAGTTTCTTTCGCTTGTTCTTCTTGTCAGTTAAAAGACGTCCTAAACAAAGTGGTAGGGAAAAAATTTTTTTTAAATATTTTTTTAAATAGCCTACTTGAATAAAGATATTTATGTTCGAATGGCTTTAATATCAATGACGTTATTACATATTTTTCCGGAGATGCACATTCAATTTAAATATAATGTTACATGTCATATTTTTTGATTACTGGTCTTATGGTTGGATGTTGTGAATGTATCACCAGCCTATTAATATCCCCATTACTAGGGCTCAGGCCTTTGCTATGGATGGAACCGAATGGAATAGAGAAAATGAGCCATAACCACCACCAGGGTCCAGTGCGGATTGGTGGATGTTGACGACTGCTTTTGCAACGGCTTAACGTGCCTTCCAAAGGACGTAGAAGCTCGAGATAATAATTTGTTCGTTACCCCCTTGTGAAACTTGCTAACTCCCGCAGACAGAATGAACTAATCGGCACTGCGGCATCGAGCTTTTCTTTCTTTTTAATCCGCATATTTACAAACACTGTTGGGGAAATTAGAGCATTATGGCGTGACGAAAAATTCACTTCATCTAATAAGATCATATCTTTCTGCTAGAAT